CTGACCCCATCAGTGCCGACCCAACTACACCACCACGCGCATGCCTCGCGGCGGATATGCGCAGCAGCAAGAAGGTTTCGGTCATCCCTTGAGGGTGAGTCTAGCCCTGCTCGCCAGAAAGACCCCCCCCTTCACTACAACCCATGTCTAAGCAAAAGCTTGTCGAGGAGCGAGGGGAAGAAGGGAGAGTGAACTCTGTGCAAACTAAAATACCAAAATTATCCGATATTCTAGAAAGATCTAAAAACGCCTCTGATTTTTTTTTCGCGCTTCGCGCGAAAAATTATATATTACGTCCCCGCCTAGCCCTACCTATGGGCCCTGAGCCATTCAAATACATACATACGTGATGCATACACCAAAACTGGATTGAGCATCAAATCATCAGGAGGAGATGGTGGGGGGGGCTGTTTTTTACCGTATAGGTCTTATTTTATGGAATGATTTATTGTCGTATATAGTATAACATATCTATACATTTTCTATCGTAAACCATTTAAAAAAGTAGGATCGAGTTGTATAGTCTAGTCAAATAAACATGGCTATTCGAAACCTTACACGTCGTCTCTAACTTCACAGGTAGACCACTGCTGTGTGTTGGGTACATTGCACGTAGATTTAGTGTTGTGTAGTAAAGCCAATATATGATGCTGCTGCTGCTGTGAAACCTGTCTTCTCTGTAGGGAACAATAGCAAACAGGGTGCTTGCTTGCTGTACACTTCCTTGTTGTGCTGTTGTTAGTTGCAGGACCACCTTCATTCATTCATTGCTGCTACAAAGAAAGGTCTAGGATTTGGTGTCGTCAAGATCACCTCTAAATTGTGGTATTGGTTTTATAATGTTACACTAAAGCCTACCGGTATACATTATGGAATATATAGGCTTTATTATGACGACTCTTAAGTAAGTCAATAGACGCTTTGTTTGACCAAACTGGATTACCGTATATGACACAAGATAACACACCCCCTTGATTGACCAATTTTCGAAGCTCGATTTCTCAACTGCAGGAACAGTCACAGCAGTGCCCTCTTGGGGCGGGGGACATCGGGTAACTGGGCCGGCTGAGATGACATACGGAGGGAGAGCAAGCTCCGTAGAGCTGTCAACGCATGGACTCCTGAACTCCGGCTCGATTCTTTAGCACTGCAACAATGATCGAATTGTATATGGCCCTGCTTTCAGCACAGTATTTGATTGAGAGGGACACATAAATGAATCCTGGTCTAGGATGAAAGCGACGCGTTGCAAAGCTCGTTGTTAATAAACCATAATCGACTTCGTAAGTCGCGAGGGAAGGGATTGCTGTACCCTTGTCGCGATAAAAATACCTCAGGCAGGAACCGCAGGGGAGGGTCCAGCCCCCCCCTCCTATGTAACCCCGGGTGGGTCGTCTAGCTAGTAGAAGTGAAGGATAGGGGCCAGAGAGGCAGACGACAGAATCCAATGATGAAAAAAAAAGAAGATATATATGCGTACGAACGAGTCAAGATATGCTTGATGAATCCATTTGCACTGAGCAGGCGGACAGCGAGGAATGAATCATGATGTATGTGCATCCACCGGCTTCCCGCACACCAGTCAGTATACTTTTGTATACTTTTTCCGCATTCATTCGGTCGAAGGATGTGAAGGGTGTACTTCTGCGTACTACGCCCGTATAAACAGGGTTCAAATGTGCTCTGTACATGAGAGGTGACAAGAGTACTACCAGCGAATTATGTGATCGACGACACAAAACGAAGCAGAGGTTCTTACAATCTTTTCTGCCTCACCCCACTCCTCTCTCTGTAGTCTACCGGCGGGCAGCAGTCTCGGCAATGTGAGCACGGCATTCCGGCCGGTACAATTTAAAACCCTTCCTGGAAGAAGACGTGGGGTCATAATTCCCCGATGAACCCCAAAGAAAACGAAGGAAACAGGAGTTGTATCCTCCGCCCGATCTATACATATCGCGTCATGTAGAGACGAACAGGAGTCATTTGCCTTCCCCCCAAGAGCACGTGTGTAGGGAATGTACCGAGCATTCGATCCGTTCGCTCTTTTACCTGGTTGCCGGCGCCACGCGCCGAGAAGCTGAAGGGTCATGGGCGACGCGCATCATGCCGCTTTCCTCCCTCAAGTGCTGCACGTGACCGTGAGACTCACTCCCAAGAGCCTGACAGGTTCGATAGGGCTATTGGTTGATATTGGAAATAACGATTCATACACTATTATTATTACCTAACCGGGCTGGGTGAACACAGCAGCTCAATTTTCGACAAAAAATATGACAAAATTACGCAAGAAAGAGAGGAGGCAGCTGTGTTCCATCCATCCCCTTCCTCCCTTTCGCCCCCCCCCCCCCCCCCCCCCCCC